CAATATGGTTCATGGGGTCACGAAGAGTCGGACACGACTTAACGACTAAACAACAAAAGTAGGAATGTAAGGAAGAAGGATGAATTTGGGAATGAGTTCACCACCTTTCCCTGGAACCGCAAAAATGTATTCTGTAAGGGGGAGCTGCGTATCATTTACCTTCATCACCAGCATATTAATACTGACTGTGAGCAGGGATGGGAAGGGAGCTTTCTATACTTTGACCTAGAGAAGCAGTTCAGGGTATCTCCTCATAGCCAAGACAAAGGGCCAGCAGCCCTCTACCCAACAGCCTCCCTCTTGGTAGATTAAAACTAGCTCCCTCCCAGAGGAACAACAGCTCAAAATCAGTGTACAGATTTGGAGTACTGTTCCTGAGCTACGTGTCTCTCTCCACCATCTTTGCAGATGTAAAAGTGGTCCTTCAGACAATGTGCATGGATTAAGTTTGAGAAGTGGGAAATGCTTGATTATTAAACAAGAGCAGTGTATTACCTGCTCATCCCTATCATTAATGACAACCATGGAGCCTCCGTGGTCCTCGCATGACTTCTTCGCAAAAGACCAGTGTTTACTCATCACTTGAAAGTAGTAGCATTGTCCTCTGTTCAGCAGCCAACCTTCTGGACATAACTGGCAGCCTGAAGCTATAGAGCAAATGTAGATATTTAAAGCAGACAGGTAATCACAGAGTCTAGAGCTGATTTTAGTCATTAGTAGCAATATTGCCAACACTTGTAATTATTTGGTCCAGTCTGTGAATCTAAACAATCTATACATTTTGATAATGAAACCTAGGCCCAGGTCCTGACTGGCAAAAACTGTAATATTTGCAGTTTAAAAAAACCTTAATGGCTTTCAAAAGTTCTGCTCTATACATAATCAGGTATGAGACTTCCTGGTTGAAGTTGGGCTCTAGGGACCAGTTTAATTTGTTGCTGCTCAGCAACATTCCTGCCCAAGCTGCTAGATTTTGTTGCCAGATTGGCAGCGGAGTCTCTGAGACTTATAGCTCTGAGGCTTCTTGGGGACTTCAGTCTGCTCCCAGATGGCATGGAGTGTGGGATAGCCAGGAGTTCATGGCCACCAAGGTAACCATAGACCTGACCTAAGCCATCAAGAGTCTGATACACATACTGGGGCCATACATTAGACCTGGTTTGTGTCTCAGGGTAGTTGCAATCTGGGCATGGAGGACGTCACCACCAGTCCTTTGCTGCAATCAGATCATTCTCTGATCACTTTTTGGCTTGCCAGCACTGCCCCCACCATGTGGCTGGGGGAAACTGTTAGATTGGTCTACCCCAGATAACTAGTGGAGCTTGGGTGGTTCCAGAGGGACTTCTTCCTTTTTTTCCCCGAGGTTCTGATGGCTGGTCACAGTCCAGAGCCAAATCTATTACTTTATCTATTCTGTTTAAATGGCCAATCAGAGCAGATGCATAACAATATATGGCACTGTGACCTGTGCTTTGGTGATGGGCATGTAGTAAAATCAGGCTACAGTTCAAAAGCATAACTTGTAGAAGAACTTTCATTTGCATTCCTACAGTATCATTTGATTCAAAAATCAGCAGCCTAGTACCAAACACAAGCCTTTGTGTTCACACTCCAGCTTTCTTTACCACAGCCTCCATTACACCAAGAGTGCTAACTCTGAAGGAATAACATCTTATGAATCAAGGGCCAGAGGAGTTGTATCTTACCATTGATCTTGTGGATTGCAGCTATTAATTTAAAGATCCTCTCTGAATTCTTTCCACTTTGAATTTCCATCTGATCCATTCTGTTGCTCACTAGAAGTACAAATTTAGAAGAAAAGGTTAAATGGAAATGGAACTTGATCTAATATAACTTTTCCCAATCTGTGCCTTTCAGATGTGTTGAAACTCTAATACCCATAATGTCCTATTGATGGGGAAGTTGAAGAATTTCAATCCCAAGACATCTGGAGGGCACTGGACTGGAGAAGGCTGGCCACTGATATTTTAACGCAGAGGAGAATTCAGAGAAAACCAAATTTCTCTTATATTCATACATATACACATAAATGGCACATGGAAAACAGCACACTAAAGAGAAGGCAAACCTAAAACCATTCTTCCTGTCACCTAGATTTTGATGACAGGCAATGTATGGCTGGAGGAATTTTCTATCATGCAGAGAATCATTCACATTCTGAAGCTGGTCACCCAGATTTACTCTCTGTGAAGAACTCTCTGTTGGAAGACTTCTTTGATTTGAAGGTGCTTTAAATATCAAGAGCCATAGAAAGAGATGGGATGAGCCTTGTGATTGCCCTGTAATGGTCAGTTCCTGGACAGCTGATTGAACAAGTTGATACATATAGTATACCGTAGCCTATCTGCTTCCCTATTATAGAGAAATACCGTGTTTTTCTTTTTATATTAGAATACAGTAATTACTAATACATTTGTACCTGCAGATGGTATTACAAAACTGAGTGTTCTCTGTCAACACTTCTTCCTGCTCTGCCATGCTTTGTAGTGAGTTCTGACACCAAACCTGGTTTGCATGTATAAGCCTCATGGTTTGCACACCCAAATCAGGATTGCTGTCAGAACTTGTTCCTGCTCTACCAGAATAATATTTAAACAAAGTGGAAAGTTAACCTCAGAGTGCAGCTTAATGCAAAGATGGATTTCTGGCAGAACTTGCTCTCACTCTGCCTGGATAAACCAGTAGCCAGCTTGTCAAAACAAAGCCCAGAGCAGGCTCTGACCCAGCACCATCTTTGGGTACACAAACCGAATAGCTTGCACATTCAAAGCTGGATCACTGTCAGAATTCACTCCTGCCCTGATTGGACAACCCAGCAGCAAAGTCAGGATTATTATTTTTTTTTTTACCATTGTAGCTACAAAGAGCAAATACTATATAAATCCAAAATAAATGTGCAATGAGCAATTAGAGTGGTTGTCTCAACCCCCACTCCACAAATTTTGGGAATTATGCAAAACTAAGTAAGCTTATCCTTCCCATTAAATATAAGGTTTTATGTTTATTTTCAGTGAAAAAAAATATAAATGTGCAAGATTCTATCATTGTTTTACCTGATATATAGATTAAAAACTAATTATTAACAGTGGTACATATATTTTTTTGCCCAACCCTAACTCCAATGAATTTGTTAGTTTTATTTATGCAGGAGTCACAGAGATTAATTTCTTATTTTAGGGGATTATAGCACCACAGAGTTTGAGAACTCCTGGTCTAGATACTGAATAATCTTGTTGCTTTCCATACATTTCCTCTCATCAACACTGGGATATCAAGAAAAATGGTTTTGATTTTATATTTTGTTTATCATGCCATTTTCTACATGCAAGGATGTTTATATGTAGGCATGGAAGAGAGGAAAAAAATCATTATTTTGTCCCTTAAATTAACCTCTGCAGTATATGGCAGTAAACCAGCCTTCCTCAATTTGGTCTTTCCAGGTGTGTTGCAACCAAAATTCTTGGACTTTCAGCCAGTACAGCCTTGTGGGTGCTCTAATCTCAATGCATCTACAGGACACTTAACAATGAACAGTTTACTGTTTATTCAGTTGCTAACTCGTTTATGCTCTTTGACAGCCTTAAAACAGTGTTGATATTGAAATTTTGATAATCTGTGGCCATTTTAAATAAAAACAATTACATATTTATAAAAAAAAATGCTAGGAAAATTAACATCATTTGACCAATGTTTTCCATCCTTTGCATTTCATGAGTGCTTTCCCTTTATATATTTTTCCATACTTACTTTCATACTGGCCTGGAAAATTTATAAATTGCCAGGAAAAAAATCCTATTTTGCTGAAGATGGCATTAATGTCCTAGTTGATTATCAGGATATGAGTCCTTATGTTTGGCCAAAATGCTTTTTTTGGAAAGTGTCCTTAGAAAACACACATGAGTACATGAAAGACTCCACAGCTGCTTTCTAACACACAGGGACAGGGAGGGGAATTAGGGGATTGTTGATATTGATGCTTGTCCCCCCAAGATCAGTCACCTGAGGCAGATGGCTCCCTTTAACGTAGGAGCTTTCTTGATAGAGAAAGTTGTCAAAGGAATCCCTCAGAAAGAAGGACAATAGAGATGCAATGAACAGGACTTAGAATCTGTACTGATGTTGTAAGGGATGGCTCACATTGTTCAATGTGGAACAATGCAAAGTAAATCCTATTCGTGAAATTCCGTATTAGCAGGCCCACCTCCTCACCTCCTTATCTTTCTTTCTCACCAGAAGTAAGCCCATATCTGCCTATAAAGATCACTTACCATCCTTTTTCGTGCTATTCTGATCAGCCTTCAGTTTCTGCAAGTTGTTATTTAGCACTGATTCTGGAAAAAAAGGCAGAGTAAACTGCAATTGCTACCTAGGGAGAAAAGGTGCTGTTAAGACCTCCATGTTTCCCTAAGCAGGAAGAAATAGGAGGAGCTACCACATTTTGCTTACAGTGGTTCAATTTAAAATTAAATGTCAAGACCACAGCAGAAGCACGCTTCTGTAATGAGCAGCACAATTGTAAATTCTGCTTCAAATTCCCGAGAGCAACAGTGTTGATGTTTCTCTGTGCCCCAAGTTTAAAACTATTAATTGATTTTCTTCTCCCTCCTACCTATCCTTGAAGAGTGCTAGTTTCAGACCTTACCAGCTAAGCCAATTTCCCACTCACAAAAACAGAAAACAAACACCCCCCCCATCTTAAGTGAGCATGAGCTCCCACTAACAAAATGCTTTATTCATTTATTCAGCTGGACATTAATCATTTTCTACTAATAGCAGACAATCAGCCAAGGTATCCACAGGGTAAGGGAGACAAAAATGTCAAGATGATGGTTGTGTGCCTTTGATCGTATGGTCACAGCCATCATCTTGACTTTTTGACACACACCCAAGACACCTCTGCAATCAACTTAACAAAACATGGTTGCCCAGCAGCCATAACAACATTTTGTGAGAGTTGGGAGAAAAAAGTAAACAACTCAATTGAAAGTAAACAACAAGGGAGGAAAGAAGAAATGAGGAACATCAATTGGGATATCAGACTCAAGAGCTAGTTAATGCATACCATAGGCAGAATGGTTGGAGTGAAACACCTGCAACTGCTTCTCTGTGTTGAGACCTAGAAAAGACAGAAAATTAGCCACAATTTTAGTTCAAAGTTTAATGTTTTATCAATCAAGTCATGTATATGGATTGACTGGTAATTCCAAGACAGCTGTCCCACCTCAAACCCCTCCATGGTCAGGTTTAACTTTCTGGCTAGGAACTCTAGGAATTTATAGTCCCAACTCATCTGGAAAACTTTCCTAAGGGACCCAGAGCTTCTTCTCTAAAGGTATGAAGTAGTTTGTAATAAGGGTGGTAATGAGTTATCAAAACAAAAAATTGAATCCTCATGGAATATTGGTTCAGGCCTAACAATCTCATGAAAGAGGAATAGGCTGGATACCCAGAAAAGCTAGCCTCTTCTAGAAATCCCAGCGCCAATTTACTGTTAGCTTGTATGAGTAGTGTGAGTACAGCATCTCAGTGAATTCAAAATCAGAAATGTCCACTTTCCAGACCCATCAAAATGAGGATCATTAGTATCTGATCATATATCCTACCATGCAATGGGAAAATATATGGATGCTTTGTGAAATGCTGCCTTTCAATTGTATTCTGCTTACTATTTTCACTATGAACCCTGTTGGCTATCTTAAGATTGCCTTCCCTAAAGTGAGCACCCTCCAGATCTGTAGAATCAACTCCTAGAATTCTTACCAATCACCTTAGTGGCTGGGGAATTCTGGGTCTGGAAACCCATACATCTTGAAGGCACTCAGGTTGTGGAAGATTATCCAAAGTAATTTCAAATATATACCCTGCCTACAGCAAAATTGATTGTATTATACTTTTTTATATTTTTGGAGCTTGATGGTGATTTAATCTGCAGTATAGCAAAAACATTTTCCTGAAGGACTGTTCATTCATCTCTTCCCCTTTCATGCAAGTCTACTTTTGCAACTGCTTGCAAAACATTACTGCACATGTGAATATGACTGGTTAGCTATGGCAGATAGCCAACACTTCCCATGGCTATTTTAAGCTGCTTCATAAACTAAACATCCTGTACTCCTTATTCACATTAACTTGTAGTTTATTGGGTTTTTTCCTCTTTGTCTCAGGGAAAGCACTAGAGATCAGAGAGATCCTCACAAAATTATAACCTTGTTCTGCTTATGGCCAAAATAGAAAAAGCCTACAAGTAGTTACATATAGAATGGGATCATGCTAAATTATGGTTTGTTTATCCATGCTTTATAGAATACAGTAAATGACAATTAGCTGGGTTTGGCCAACATGCTAAGTCAAGACATGAGTAGTAAATGGGGAGAATTCTCATCCGAAGAAGTTCAGACACAAAAACATTAAGGAAAACTTAAACTGGATCTGTCAGTAACATCTAACCTACTAGTCCTGCTGGGCCTTCTCTGTGGCTGTGCCTGCCCTGTGGAACAACCATCCCTTCAGAGCTCTGGACAGCTCGATTCTCCTGGCCTTTTACAAGGCCCCAAAGGCTCTCCCTTGAGTCCCTGGGCTAAGATGTTAGCAAGCCCTGCTGGATTAGTGGTTGGTGGTTGTTTCTTTACTGACAGTGAATACTGTATGGAATGTTTTTAGAATGTGTTGGGCTGCCTTTCAGTTTTAATCCTCTATTCCCCACCTAGAGTCTCCGCTGTGAGATGGGTGGTCATAGAAATTGTTTAAATTAATCCAGACAGCTGGCAAAGAACATCAGAGCTGGGGAAAATAAAACTTGGAGCAAGCAATCAGGAGTGGGATGGGTGCTGTCTTTCACACGAGCTTTTACCAAGAGCAGCTCCATCTTTTCCCAGATAGTTCTAAGCCTGGACTCCTATAATCCAAGAATTAGGGGAAGCTAAATTTGAATTCTGATTTTATTTGATAGAAAATTATTTGAGTTGAGTTGCCTTTGTTATTCTTGGTCTTTTTTTTTTTTGGTTCTACATGTGTATTCTGGGCTGGAGGACAAGCTGCCACTGAACTAACTCTGCAGATGTTAATTTTTATTTCCCTTTCTCTTTTTAGCTTTCAACTCCCACTTTGTTCCTTAGCCTTGATATACACAATAAAAACGTGCATTTCTTACAGAATCACCCAACTCATTCTAAAAACATCTTAACTTTAGCACATATATCAGTTCAGCTACAGAACACAATGGAAGCAAAGGCAGGAAGCCTGCCACTTTCCTCAACCTGAGTAGACCAGCACAGGATCAGACTCTATAAGATAGTGGACAGTTGAAGCATTTACTGAGTAGTTTCTCCCCAGTAGTTGTGGGTCAGTACAAGTGGGTTGTGAGTGGAAGATCTAGAGACCCCTCATAAGAGGCAGGAAGGCCAGTCGACCACATCCTTGTACACTTATGTGCAAGGGTATCCCATTACCCCGTGATGTAATGGCTAGGTTTAAATAGCATGAAAAGCAAAATCAAGCAAATCACATTATGGCTTAGCATATTGTGTGAACCAGGCTATAAAACAGGAGTGTCCTGCTTTGGTTTGTTTGAGGGTGGCACCAAGTCTTGCTCAGCGTACTGATATGGAACTTCAGACCTCAGAAGTAGGCTGGGCCAGGGGAGGTTCAGAAGTTTTAAGGGGTGAAACATGTAAGCCTCTGCAAAGCTGGCAGCACTTATTTCCCACAAAGAAAAAGAACACCCTCCAGAAGGCCAACATTTGGACCCCTGCCTATTTGCGGGAACATCCAGGCCCTCCAAAGGGATCCTGGCAGTCTGCACTTTTTGTTCCCCTTTATCATACAAGAGTCTGTCAAGTAGATCCCCTCTTTTCTTGATTAATGGCTCAGTACTAATACTTCAGCGATTCTTTCAGAAGAATCATTTCCTTACGGCCTAAATCCTGATCTTGCAGATCCAAATGCATCCAAGCCATTCCCGCCCAGCCTACTCTGGCCCTTTCTTTTCACAGAAAACTACCGAAAGGGATGGTGTTTGGAAACTCTTTGAGCTAAAAGAAACCACTTTACAAGAAGGCATTATAGAGAAAATCAAGGGTCTGGAAAGGGCTGTGATAAATCTGCAAAGCTGCTCTTCATATTAATACAAAAAATCAGTAGCTCAAGTTTTCTCTGATTCACATCTGCGTTTATAGCCTACAGTGATTTGCTACAGCTGAACACTGGATCTCAAGTTAAATATACTGACAACCAACGCCCCAACACTTATCTTTGCCCTTTGTTGGCTGTTTCACACTTGTTACTTCTTTCAATTATAAAGAGACCAGAATGGGTACATGAATGTACATTTAAACAATAGTTTAATAAGTGCGGTTTAGAAAACGTTTTAACAAAATACAAGCCCTCTTGGGGGCAGGGGGCACTGCTAACAACTTTTTACTAGTGTGTCTGTTTTATTGTTATGTGTAACATTTGGACTTTGGTTATTGGAAATTTGGCAATTGTCCCTTGATAACAAATGTCAGTGTGAATAAAGTAAATGTTAAAAAGCAAATGGCTATAGAAAACACCAATTTCAAACATAAAGCAACTGAAAATAGCAGTTTCAAACCAAGAGCAACTGAAATAATTATAGTACTCTTTTACCTCTTATCCCTCCTCATGCTTTTAGCCATTCCCATCTGATATTTATTGAAATTATCTGCTTGTGCATTATGCTTCAGCCTGCAGTCAACACTGGTTTCTCCCTATGTGAGTTATTGTTCCTTTAAAAGCTGATTTATGTAACTGAGATAGAAATCACAATAGAAACAATTAACAGTTTGGAGCAACAAAACAGAATTGTTACCATTTATACTCAGTGAAGTTTGATTCCTGTGCAGCTCTTCTAGTTGCTTGGACATCTCAGAATCTGAAACAAAGAAAGACTGAATTCAGACTTTGTGCTAAGTTGTGGTTTCCTGAATGAACCATTGTCCAGGTTAGTACAACAATTGCACACTAAGCCACAAATCATGTTTTATAATTTACAATAGCTGTGTTTACACTACTCAGTAAGCCAGTCTAGTGTGACATGTTGAGCCAGGAAAAGACTAATCACCCTTGAAATGAATCAGCTTGATTTTCACTTTGAGAGATGGACAGCCTCATTAGAATGCAACAATAGATTGTGGCTTCCTATGAAAGTTAAAGAGGAATGATCTCAAACCTATAACAGAAAACAATATATGTTTCTGACATGTTTCAAATTATTGTCTTCTTAAGGGATAAATCAGTACTGCACAGTCTCAGTCCATGTCTTATACAAAGATTGTTGTAACAAAACGGTACAACTATTGAGCAAATTTCTCCAGTTCAAGGTATTGGTGTTTTCTAGTCTTCATTTAAGGTCTTCTTTGTCTTTTGCTTGCATGGGGTGGTGGGTGGTGGGGGTGGTGTTCCTTCTACAACTATGAAGAGCAAGCGATAAAGTAAAGATGAAGGGATGACAAGCAACAGAGAACCTGAGTGATAGCTAGAAAGAACCTGAGGTGTCAATGAGTAAGTAACATCTACGGAGGAAGACATGAAGCTCACTGAGAAAAGGACAATATTTTTATTTAATATAATTTTATCCAACTTTTCTAATTAAAAAGCACTCAGAATGGTTCTAACAAATAGATAGGCTAGCTTTGGGAGTGAAGGTGTTTCACAGTCTGTGGAGAAAAGTGTGATAAGGGATGGTGACTGACCACCAACCCTGAGGTTCTAAAGGCTTTCATGTGGAGGGTTCAACTTGGGAATATCTATCATGACAGGAACAGAATGTCCATAACCAAGAGGCCATATTGGGACCTGAGCAAAACCCCCATATTATTTCCTATTTTACCAATCAGGTCATTGAGATCAGCAGTCACAAAGATTCCTCCCCCCTCCCAACCTTCGTTAAATACAAATTATATTGGATCAGAAGTGGGATATTTTGTTGGGCTCCATCCAATCAGCCCCAATCAGCATGGTCAATAACCAGAGATGATGGCAATTGTTGACAGTATCTGTGCAAATATATCAACAACAAAGTAATTTCATCTTTATAAAACTGAGTAATAGTTTTCAGTCAATATATTTAGTGAGTAGACTCTTTAAAAACAAATTATTTTCAGATGCACACATAATTGAAAACATGATTGGGATACCTTGTTTGTAGTCTAGAAAATATTTTTAATAATGGCCTCTCCCACCTCCCAGAATTCCCCAAGCTGGGGGGAATTGTGGGAAATGCAGATTTAACTCATCTGATGAGCAATTTTGAGGCTGCTGTTCCTTACTTATGTGTAAGGTACCAGATTCTAATCTATTCCACCTTCCCTTTCTCTCTCTTTCCTCCACATCCAAGATCTCTGTTTTAGAATGGAGATAAATGAGCCAGCTTTCGACTCAGAAGCCATACATTTTGAAATCATAACAGCAACAGTGATGATCCACAAGAATAATGATGCAATGTTCACAAGGTAAATGATGGGTATGGATATTCCCTCTGAACCACATCGACAGCTTTGTGGCAGGAAACTACCTGTGGAACAAAAAAAAAAAAATGTTACTATGAAACCTGTACTGGTGAAACTAGAATAAGAAGTCAATTATTAACACTGTAGGAAAACAAAAAAACCACAGAGTTCTACACACTAGCTAAAATCCCTTCATTCTGGAATAATATTTGTATTAGCTTTTCTCTATAGCAGCAAAACATGCTCTCATACAGCTGGCTTCCTAAATGGCAGAAGCTTTTATAGTCATTAGGCTACAGGTAGTCCCTGGGTTAAGAACACCCAGGTTACAGATGACCCATAGTTAAGAACGGAATGTAGCAAAATTTGAGTTAAATACACAATGGTTCAAGTTCATTACACAATACTACTGATACAGTATTATACAACAATACTGTTCTGGCTTA